ATCGACTCGGGCGCGGACGAGAACTTCCTAGATTACCAAATAGCTCGCCGCCTTAAGATCCCCCAGGTCCCCTTAGACACCCCCCTTCACGCCACGGGTCTAAACGGCCAGCCTCTCGCCATCGTCACCCGCCGCACTCCTCAGTTATCTCTTCTCTCTTCCGGCAATCACCACGAGTCCCTCGCCTTCCACCTGATCTCTTCCCCTGCCGCCCCTCTGGTTCTTGGTCTCCCCTGGTTATCCTCCCATAACCCCTATATCGATTGGTCGCGGGGGAAGATCAGGAATTGGAGTACTTCTTGCCATTCTTCGTGCCTCCTGTCTGCCCGAGCCCCCGGTGATCCGGTTCCCCCGGTCTCTCCTCCGCTCCCTCCCGACCTGTCCGGGGTCCCCGATGTCTACCATGATCTGGCCCCGGTTTTTAGTAAGAACCTAGCCCTGTCACTACCCCCCCACTGCCCCTACGACTGCTCCATAGACCTCCTCCCGGACGCTCCCCTCCCGTCCAGTCACCTGTACAATCTGTCGCGACCGGAGAGGGAGTCTATGGAGCAGTACATTAAGGACTCCTTAGCCGCTGGCATCATTCGCCCTTCATCCTCCCCTCTTGGGGCGGGTTTTTTTTTCGTAGCTAAGAAAGACAAGACCCTCCGCCCTTGTATCGATTACCGGGGGCTCAACGCCATTACCGTTAAAAACAAGTATCCCCTCCCGCTCATGGATTCGGCCTTCGAATCCCTCTCCCGGTCCGCCATTTTTACCAAACTGGATTTGCGTAATGCCTATCATCTGGTGCGGATCCGGGAGGGGGATGAATGGAAAACCGCGTTTAACACCCCTCTCGGGCACTATGAGTACCTAGTCATGCCCTTTGGCCTTACCAACGCCCCCGCGGTTTTCCAAGCCCTGGTTAATGACGTTCTTCGTGACTTCCTCCACCGCTTTGTTTTCGTCTATCTTGACGATATCCTGATCTTCTCCCGCGACCCTGCCCAACACACTGAACACGTCCGTCTGGTCCTGCAGCGGCTTCTGGAGAACAGGCTCTTCGTCAAAGCAGAAGACCGAGAACTAAACCGCGCTAAATCCTCCCATCAACCACCCGCCGGCCTGCTCCGCCCTCTCCCGGTCCCCGGTCGCCCCTGGTCCCACATCGCCTTAGACTTCGTCACCGGACTCCCCAGATCCAACGGGAACACGGTCATCCTCACCATCGTCGACCGTTTCTCCAAATCCGCCCACTTTGTCCCCCTACCTAAACTCCCCTCTTCCTTGGAAACCGCCCGCCTCCTCATCAACCATGTCTTCCGTCTACATGGCATCCCTCAAGACATCGTCTCTGACCGGGGGCCTCAGTTCACGTCCCAGGTCTGGAGAGCCTTCTGTCGCGCCTTTGGCGCCACCGCCAGCCTCTCTTCGGGTTACCACCCCCAGACCAACGGACAGGCCGAGCGAGTCAACCAAGACCTGGGAGCGGCACTCAGGTGTGTGGCGTACAGAAGCCCGGCCTCATGGAGCTTACAGATCCCCTGGATTGAATACGCCCACAACTTCCAGGTTTGCGCTGCCACTGGAATGTCCCCCTTCATGAGTTCACTGGGCTACCAACCCCCCCTGTTCCCATCCCAGGAAGCAGAAGTAGCGGTCCCCTCGGTACGGGCCCACTTCCGCCGTTGCCGCCGCATCTGGAAGGAGACCACGGCCGCCTTACAGCGCACCGCGGCCCGCAATCGCCGGTTGGCAGACCGGCATCGCACTCCAGCCCCCGCCTACCGGCCTGGACAACATGTGTGGCTCTCCTCCAGAGACCTCCCCTGCAAACCTCTTCAAAGAAACTCGCCCCCCGGTTCATCGGCCCCTATCCCATCGAGGCCGTCATCAACCCCTCCGCGGTTCGCCTGATACTCCCCCCTCACATGAGAGTCCACCCGGTCTTCCACGTCTCACGGGTCAAGCCCGTCTCCACCAGCTCCCTCTCTGTGCCAGTGGCAGCGCCTCCCCCTCCCCGGATGGTCGACGGACACCCTGCTTACACTGTGCGCCGCCTCCTGGATGTGCGACGTAGAGGTCGAGGCTACCGGTACTTGGTGGATTGGGCCGGCTACGGCCCAGAGGAGCGCTCCTGGATCCCTGCCAGTCAAATCCTGGATCCTTCCCTCCTGTCCGACTTCTACCGGGCTCACCCAGACAAACCGGGGGGTCCGCCTGGAGGCGTCCGTTGAGGGGGGGGCCCCTGTCGCGGTGGCAGCCCGGCTGTCGGTGAGTGTCCTGTTTCTCCTTTCCCTCACATTCTGGTTTCTCCTGTGCCTCCTCTCTCTCTCTGTGTGTGTGCTCTCTCCCTCCCTGCTCCGGAGCCCGGCTGGCTACCCACACCTGCACCTCGTTTACCTCCATCCCCGGCCGCCGCACCTGCCAGCCATCAGCCTCATCACTGCCAGTATATCTACCCCGGCTTTCCACTCCACCCTCGCTCGATCGTCGCAGCTCTTGACCTGGTGTCGCCGCTTCGTTCTGGCTTTATTTCTTATACTCCTTTTGCCTCTTGTCCTCTTGCCTACTAACCCTGTCTCTCTGTTTTTCCCCGCCAGGTTCACTCACCTCTGCCTCCCAGCTCGGCCAGCCGGGCTCGCTCGCCTGCCTCCTCCTCTCGCCGCCTCCACGACACCCCCCCGGCTTCTCGCACCCCGCCTGGACCCCCGTCTCCATGTCCTCACCTACCCGTCTGCCAGCCTCCCCCCTAGCCTCCAGCCTTGTGCCCTCCGTTCCTCCAGCTTCTCGGTTCCCCGAGTCCTCGTCTGCCTCTCCCCCTCCTTCCACCTGCCCTCGCCTCGAGCCTGTTTTTTCCTCAATAAACCTCTTTTTCACCCTCAGCGTTGCGTTTGGGTCCGTTCTGTCTCCCACCGTTACAAGAAGTACCTGTTGCAGTTGATGGATTCGTCTTTCTTCAGAATATCACACTTTTCTATCTAAAACTTCAGGCTAAACTACTATTGCCAGCTACTACAATACAAACTATTATTGAGGGATATCAAGATGTCCATCATGTCAGTCTGACAAATCTGCTTAATACCTTGAGTGAGAAACTAACTGTCCTTGGAATCCCAGAGGCCACAATTAGTAACATTATGGATGAAATGAGAAAAGACGATCAGCCTGTAACAGTGGGCCTTTGAGCACAGACCAGAAAAGAAAGACGGCTTTTAAAAAACATTTTAATTATGTTGAGCCGGTGCCTCAGTTATTAGGTATCAATGAGAAAGGTAAGGAATCGTTTGCCCAGTATGTGCCTATTAAAGAAACATTGGCTGCACTTTTTAAAAGCAAGTCCATGCAGGAACAGTATGCAGCAACACATTCCCAACCATCATCAGAGGGTATTTTCCAGGATGTAAATGATGGGAAGGGAGCTCAGTGCAACCCTTTATTTAAAGCGGAGCCATCTTCTCTTGGTCATCCACTTGGTTCTTCTAAAAAGAAACACAAGATTCTAGTAGTTTATCTCACTTTAACAGATATTTTGCCTCATAACAGATCATCCATAGATCAAATGCAGCTTGTTCTCTTGTGTAAGGAGCAGGACTTCAAATATTTTGGGATGGACAAGGTATTTGAGCCCCTCATTAAAGACCTGAAAGCTCTTGAGGAAACTGGCATCGAGATAAATAATGGACAAATTGTCAGAGGTCGACTGTGTGCTGTTTCTGGTGACAATTTAGGGTCTCACTGTATTGGCGGATTTGTTGAGAACTTTAGTGTGAGCCATTATTTCTGCAGGTATTGTGATATAAAAAGATCAAGTTTTGAGAGCTCTCCATTATTATGTGGCAACAAGCGTACAGAACAGTCTTTTCTGAATCATCTACAAGAATTAGAAAACACTGGTACAAATTCTGAATGTGGTATCAAGTCAAACTCTCCTTTTAACCAACTGTCCTTCTTTCATGTTTGCCAGCCTGGATTACCCCCATGTCTTGGCCATGACCTGTTTGAAGGCAGCTCTTTCCCAATGAGCCCCTGAAGCCCAAACATCACTATTTACTTCATTATCCAGAGCTCATTACACACTTTGGTCCCCTTATTCGCCTTTGGACTCTCAGGTTTGAGAGTAAGCACACATTCTTCAAAAGATGTGCTAGGAAGTTACTGTAGCAGACCTAAAAATTTTTTGTTATGCATTTTAATAAATTTATGAGAATTGATACCCAATTATGAATTAAAATTCATAAAATCAAAATTTCCTTGTTAAGGGCACCACCGGAGTTGTTATAATCCTAGAGTCTCTGGACCTCTAGGTAGTTTGAATAGTTATACAATTATTACTAGTGATCAGTTAGTTAATAATCGCTCAATTATCTTAAATCAGTCAGTCAGTCTCATATCTAAAGGGTCAATTCTCTTGGCAGGAACTAGAAATAGGCAACACACACAGCTCTTGATTATATTACAGTGAATTTATTCTCTAACTAAGGTGATAAAAAGATGGTTGGATACAGGGAACATAAACATTTGCTGAACAATGAGCCTGGAGGTTCGGTTGTGGGAAGCATTTGACTCATACGGCATAGAAGAGCTACTGAAAGTAAACTAATGCTGTGATTTTAGGAGTTAAAATGGACATCTGATCACAGAACGTGTGTTAAGTCTTACTGCTTGTCGACAGCCTGCTTTTGGCCTGTTGCAAGGTCCCACGCTAGCTGCCGATCCTGGCTTTTTGCTAGGGATTCTCCAGGGTTCTCCGTGTCTGATTGAAAACGCCTCCTCCGTCTGGCAATTCGGCTGTTTTCAGGTTTCCTTTGTTGTAGCTGGCGAGACCACGTGGCTTGGTCTGACCTCAGTGAAGTTGGCTCGACGAAAAAGGCTTAAAATGGAACTTGGTCATTCCTGAATTAGTCCAGTGTAACTTAACGGGCTGATAACTTTAACAAACAAAAGAAATAAAGAACATAAAACAAACTGAAGGCAGATCGATGTCGCGGCACTTCATGTGTGTAGCTTCAGGCGAACAAAGTCCTGTTTGTTTCGCTGGCCGAGTCTGGGCGTTGCCTGGCGAGGCACGCTGCGCGTGCCGAAGCGTCCAGAGGGCTGAGCAGGGTGGAAGAGCCAACAGTGAAGAGAAGAGAGCGAAGCGAGGTCGCGTGTCGCTCTTTTGTTGCCTGGGGCGTGGTTCCCCAGGGGGCGTCTCAGGTTTCCCCAAGGGACTGCCTTTCTAAACTTAATGTCTAAAGAAAAGAAATCTATTTGCACGTATTATAATCAAATATTTCCACACAATCGAACCTCAATGGTTGAACGGTTGTACTGTTCTAGGAATTTGGTAGCAGGAAACAATTGTCACATTATTGGTCAGGATATTTATACATTTAACGGCATTTCCGACAAGGGCATGTAATACTTATTTCGTCCACTTGGGGGAGCTCAGGTTACATGAGGACAGCTTGGATTAAATCAAAGATCGTCTCTCCTTAGGAACTGGGAATTTGTTGATTCATCCTTAAATTCAAGCTGGCGATTAAGAGTATCGTAAAACATTTCTTTGTCATCATTTCTAAAGGAATTTTGTAAGAAAGTATTATGAACAAGCATTGATTACATTAGATGAAGGAGTGTCTTGCTGAAAATAAAAACACTGCACAAGTAACTTTCTTTTCAGCACTAATATCAACAACAGATAGCAACAACAGTTAACATAAGTACTCAAATAGAGGCAAACGTAATCAGGTAACTAAAGATTTAATTAAATGTTTTGAGTCTTTGGAGACTGCAGTCCTTTGTCATCCAAAGTTCAGTGTCTGGACCATGTCACACTTGGGTGAGACAGGGGTTTTCCTTTTTGATGTGGTAAAATAAAGAATAAGGTCAGTTGCCACGGAAACGTATGTGGGGGGTGCCAGTTTTGATAGGCTGTTCAGGGAGATGCCAATGGCTGGTTTGTGTCCCTTTGTCAGTTTAACAGTCAGGCCCCGCGTTATCAGCTTCGGAATCAAAAAGGTGCCAGTTTTATGGTCGGGATAGCACTTAGAGAAAGCAACTTTGACCCCTCCCCTTCTTCTCTGGGGAGGAGAAAGGAATTTGGAGTAGCTCCAAATTTATTCAATATAAAATGCACAAATCCACACCGTTGTTCACTACATTACATAATTTCAAGAACATCTGCAAGACAGTCGCAGAAAGACACCAGCTCTTCCAGGCATACTTGAGTGCAGGTAAAATGTTTCAGCCGAGTGTGTTACTGGATAATGAGATGACATTCTATGTAAATGACTACAGCAACAAAATCCGAGAGGCTGTTGTTGGTTTGCATTTTGAATCTAAAGATACAGTAGCATCTCACACAGTGACGGTGAAGGGCACATCATACAAAAAGGGCATGTTTATTTTGCTGGGAAAACTGAAGAAGAGTTGGAGGTTGGCAAGATAGAGCTGGTCATTGTGCACCATGGCTCTGTGTCCTCTGTCTCAGAAAAATATTGTTTTGTTAAGTTGAGGGACATTGGGGTCTATAGTGTTTTGGGGACACCTCAAGAGCAGTTTGTTTGCGTGAGGCATGATGATCTACTGGCTTATTATCCTTTGCCAGCCTACACAATGTGTGACATTACAATGATCTGTCTCCATCACTCCTTTGCAGAGACATGGCTGCAGCACAGGAGCAGCTCAGGAGGACTGTGTTGGCAGTACTCCCGGACCTCCCCGCAGACACACAACTACCGCAACTACCTTGATGGCAGGCCTGTAAGAACTTGGTGTGGAGAACAAGGAGGACATGAGCCTTCTAAGTGAAGAAAATCTTCTGCCCTTTCTCAGTGTGGTCCAGTCTAGAAAGCTTCTCCGTGCCTTTTCATCTCAAGGTAACCGTAGGTTGGGTGGTTCGGGTTCTATGGGTGGTTCTGGGATGGGGGTGGTCGTCTGCATAGAGGGATACAAAACACTTTTATCCTACATCCTATTTAATGATTTAACTGTTTTTAATTCTAAGTATATTAGGCTACACATCGAAATGTTCACAGTTGAACTTGTAAACCTTGGGTGCGTTTGTAAATTCACTCCAAGCACCCTCAGCATGTGATTTGTTTTTTTTATACGGTATGATTGTGGCGTGATGTATTAACTGATGTATTTGGCAGATTGTGAAATCCACTTTTGTTTTGTGCCCTAAAAGTTGCAACATTGATGGCCAAATGGATTTCCCACCCTGGTCACCAATCAAATTTTTTTTGAAGCGTGACATGATATGACCTTGGCTGTCAGGTGGCTTTCTACAGTTGTTTTTTGGGGCTACCACGACAAAAAGTTTGAAATAAAAGAAAAATGAATGGTTTTATTTTATAGAAAATATGATTGGTGTTTAAATACACCATAATATGTCTGGATCATAGGGGTCTAATGGTGCAATAGCAATGTGGCCGATGGCAATGGCAAATGTTTCTTTTTTCTCAGATTTTGTTATAAGATTGGGCTTCGTTTGAGTCTGATGCTGAAATTGACTATAAATGCTCCCATAAAAGCTTATATCCTTGTATCCTCTCTTTTTTTCGCCATTTTCTGTTTGTATCTTTGAAGGTTAACTGGGGAGAAGATGACGCTAGAGATTGTCAGCCATTGCATCGAATCCTGCTGCCAGAAGAGCGATAGTCAGAGAGCTTGTTGATCAAATGAGGGTGCACAATGCAAATCCAAATAGAGGGATCTGTTTGAAAGTTGTAAACGATATAATACAGAAGTACCCCACATGTTTTGGGGATGTGGATGATGATGAAAATACAGCTGGGGCATCGCTCGTCGAGCAAGTAAAAACCAGAATCGAGCACGTCAACCAAAACAACACATTGGCACGGTTAAGGAAGAATAAGCACAGAAATTGGCAGGAGAGGAAAAATGGAAGAGGTCCCGTTGATCAATATGGATGTGTCTGATGGGCACCTCAAGAACTCCCCTCAGGGGAGACTGATGAAACCCTACAAGAGATGAAG